CTGTGAAATCCCTCTCCATCCTTTAGTGGGGCCCCACACTTCCATCTATAAAAGTAATTAAAATGTTACAGTGACAAGCTAGAAGGGAGAAGTTATCCCTTATTAACTTACATTATCATGTAATTATGTAATTATACTTTATCTCCCCAATTATATTATTGGGGACATATGTGTAACTTACAAGATCTGACTTAAATAAGAAGAATATCACTACCCCACTGCTCAGTTTTTAATACTGTCTCACATGTAATATGTATTAATTTATTTAGGTGACAGCTTTCAGCACTCTGGATAGCTCCTTCAGAGTCTGGAGCACATCCTACTAACATGGAAGCCACCAATCACCTCCCCACCTATACATATACACAATACCTAGAAAGGCACTAAATCTGGTCATTAATCCTAATTTTTACCCATCCCCTAGGAGCCCAAGATAATGATGGGCATAGTTCTCTCCCTCCCTGCCCTACTTCATCCTCACAACCAAGTTTTGAGGGAGTTTAGCCTGATATGAACCCAAACCTTTCCTATCCTAGTCCAACATTCTGCATTCAACTACACTAGTTCCCTGTTAAGTGTACGCTGCCTGAAATATATGTTTTTTGAATTTACACTTTCTGTATTGAGCTAAATACTTAAAACATGTTATATGGCAAAGCACCCCTCAGCATTTTGCCAGGATGACAATTTTGAAAAGAGATTGGTCTAGTGTTTTTGAATTTCCCAATGTAAGGAAAATATTGCAGTTCTGCAAGGCACCAAGACTTGAACAGCTAACAAAAGGAACAGAACTTGTTTTTGTTTGTTTTAGGACTATAGATCTCAGAACTGTCTATTGTGGATTCTGGGAGTTATAGTGTAAAAAAAAAGTAATTTTTCCCACACTCTGAAAAGGACTGTGTAAAGGTATCTGGAAGTGAACAACCCAAATGGGATCCAAGCAGATGTGTAAGGCCCTTTGGCTGATGTCACTATAAAATTATCACCATCAATATGCTATACAGAATTCAGAGACATAATCATGTTAGTCTGAAATATCAGTGTGCAAAAGGATCTTGTAGCACCTTTGAGACTAATTGAGCAAAAGAATTTTAGGCTGAATCGGCACCACAAAAACAATGCAGTTTGACACTACTTTAATTGCCATGGCTCAATGCTATGGAATTCTGGGAACTGTAGTTGGTTGTGGCACCAGAGCTCTCTGACAGAGAAGGCTAAATGGTTCACAAAACTACAAATCCCAGAATTCCATCACACTGAGCCATGGCAGTTAAAACGGTGTCAATCTGGATTATTTCTCCAATGCAAATGCAGCCTTAGGTCTGCTTAGGTCAGAAAATAACTAAGCCAGACCTAGCAATTAGAGAAGAATCCATGACAATATATTTCTGAGCATCACACCTAAATCTGCAAAGTACATACTTTCAGATATTTCCTTTTCCTTATACATGTCCATTATATCAAGCCAAAGTCTCAGTGTGCAAGACACACATTTTGTTATGCCAGTATGTAATACAAGGGTGGGCAAAGTGCAACCTTCGGCATATGGAGGAGTGGGAAATGCAGGTAAAACATCTGAATCACCAAGCACTACCACCAGTAGCTAAAATAGCTAACATTCAGGGCTGGCAGAGCAAATCAGCTTTAGAATGTCAATGAAAAGGCAACAATTGATTTGTTATCATTGTATTTTTTTACTGCTAGAGAAGTGGTGAAGAGCCAGAGTGGGTTCAGGAGAGAGAGATTGTCCCATCTAAATCCCCTACCCTGGTTTTCTGTATCTAAGGCCCTAGATTCAACCACTGGCATTTTCAGGAGTTTTGACAGACGCCTGTCAATAAGACAGGAGAGCCTGTATGTATGTCGTGAAATGTGCGCAGCACCTCACAAGCAGAATAACTGATATTTACAAGCTGAAGGTGTGCCATAACCAATCCCACACTACCACCATCCACACACAAACACACATGCAGAGAAAGGAAATGAAGTAGGTTTACATACAAATACTAAAAGTTATATTACATCTCATGTTGAGAGAAGCTATTCCTCAAACACAGACAGCACTGTATCCTACAAAATAGAGGACAAATAGAAATTAAATGCATACTAAGTGGGGCTAGGAGCTGCAAAAATAGAAATGGTGTAGCTAAGACCAACAAACAAGAAGTGACATAAAGACATTGAATCCTAGAGATAGAAAAGACGATGAAGCCCATCCGATCCACCCCTTGCCAAGCTATGTCTACAATCCTAGAGAGACATACAAACTAGCAACTTTAATAAAGGCATGATAAGGCTGCTACTTCTATAACAGGGACCTATTGTTTAGGTGATCATGTATGTTAAGCTCATTTCAAAAGTGGTCAGCTAGCTCTGCTATGTTTGGAAGCCCTCACTGTGAAGAAAAATTAAAGAGGAATATTAAAATCAGCACCCACATATAGTGCAGACTGGATTAGACTTGGCTCTGCCTCTGTGTGAGAGTGGTAGATTTATTATTCAAACCTAAGCCTTCTACAGTCACTTGAAATGTTCAAAGTTGAGGGGTAATGGCTTAATTTTAGGTATATAATAGCACAATCTCCTTGGAGGGAGAGTGGACATGGAAAAGGAGAAGGAGGAGGAGGAAGGATTAACACTATGTTCTAAGATTCCATTCATAAAATTCTAAAACTCCAATCCTGTGTGTGTCTACTCAGAACCTGTAGGTAGCCTTTCTGAATTCAGTAGGATTTTTGTTTGTTTGTTTGTTGCTGTGTGTTTTCAAGTCATTTCTAACTTACGGCAACCCAAAGGTGAACCTATTTGTTCAGAGTGGGGTTGCTTTTGCCTCCTTCTGAGGCTGAAAGAGTGTGACTTGCCCAAGGTCACCCAGTGGATTTCTATGCCTCAGCAGGGATTTGAACTCTGTTCTCCATATTCCAGTGCTCAAACCACTATACATTACTAGCTCTCCAGAGGCTCTTACTCTAAGGAGATTATCGCACTTGTAAAAAACCCAGTTTACTTCTCCCCAGTTGAATTCTAATTCGGGAGCCAGCCGGGTTTTATTGCATGGGTTTAGTCACCGAATCCGCTGGCTGAATACAGCCCGGCTGCATCTGGGGTCCCAGGTGCACTCAGGAAGCCACTTTTCAAAGTCGGGAGTTTTCCAGTTTTGGAAAGTGGCTTGCTGAGTGTGCCTAGGACCCCAGATGCAGCTGGGCTGGATTCAGCTGGTGGATTCAGTGGCAAACTTGTGCAATAGGACCCAGCTGCCTCCCAAATTAGAATTCAACTCAGGAAAAGTAAGCTGGATTTTTTACAAGTGTGATAACCTCCTAAAATGAATATGTCTGCAATACTCGCTGTTCCCAAGTTGACATTCTCAATCAGACATGCCTAGACAGCATTCAAATCTGCCCTTTACCTATACATTCATGTCCACTATTCCCATCCAGATTAAAGGTACTAAGTACTTCACAATAATAATACAAAGTTAAATGGGGAAATAATGTACCATACATTACTTCAATGGCAACATTTAAGCCAGCATAGCCTAAATACCATGAAGCCACCAGATCCCATCTGATCTTAGAAGCCTGGGTAGTATTTGGATAGTAGTACCGCTAAGTAGTAGATCACTAAGGAATACCAGGCTATATTCAGAATAAGGTACAGTGGGTTCTTGTTATCCATGGGCTTGCCATCCACAGATTTGAGCTTCCATGGATGGCAATTCCTATTGTTTTTAATGGAGGTGTGTGCACACGACTATGCCAGTAGTGGCATGCATGTTACACCACCATAGTAAACAACAAGACTTAAGGTCCCACATTTTTTGTTATTTGCAAAGGGGTTCAGAACAGATCCTCTGTGGATATCAAGGGAGGACTGTAGTAGTGAATCACCTCTGAATATTTCTTGACTAAGAAAAATTCATGAATTTTCATGTGATCACCATAAATTAGCAAATGCTTTGAAGGCATATACTTATATGTGGCTCTCATGTGGTTGTCTTTCCTGATCCTGAAAGGGCACAAAGTGATTTAGCTTTAGCAAAGTGAGTGTTTCATGTGCTTTTGGCTATAATCAGCTCTCAATGAATGATCTGTATTGAGTTTTTCCTCAGATTTTAAGATAAATACGAGTGTTACTGTTCAGGCATAGTCAGCCCAGCACTAACCCAGTGTCCAAACAGTCTTATTCATGTTATTGTAGCACAGATTTTCTTTCAATGTACATCTCCTTGTGCAGTCCAAGATCCTACCCATTGTTAATTCAGGCGCACCTAACTGCAGAAATAATCCTGTTTGACATCACTTTAACTGCCATGTTTTATTGCTATGAAATTCTGGGAACTGTAGTTTTGTGAGCCATTTAGCCTTCTCTGTCAGAGAGTGCTGGTGCAACAACAAACTACAGCTCCCAGAATTCTATAACACTGAGCCATGGCAGTTAAAGCAATATCAAACTGTATTGTTTCTGCAGTTCAGATACAGCCTCAAACAATGATGAAGATGATGATGATGATGATAAATTTTATTTATACCCCGCCCCTCTGCATAGCAATTGGGGTGGCTTCCAACACAAAATACAACAGTCCCAAAACCCAGCCCCTCCTACCTTTTAAAAAGTCATTAAACAATCATCAGTTAAAAACAGTATTTAAACAAGAGTGCTATTCCACATAGCAAATTCTTCATCTTTTTGACATAACCCAGGGGTGAAAGGGACAACTAATAATTAGGACCTTCCTAATGAATTTTCATTCAGTGCCTAGATTTCTAGCATTGCAATCACTTGAAATTTCAATGGAACGTTTAGAAATATTGTACAGTTTAGGCACCCCAAAAATGTTGTTGTTGTATGCCTTCAGGTTGCTTACAATGTATGGACACCCTAAGGCAACCATATCATGAGGCTTTCTTGACAACATTTGTTCAAGGGGAGCTTTGCTTTTTCCTCCCTTTGAAGTTGAGAGAGTGTGACTTGCCTAAGGTCACCCTGTGGATTTCCATGGCTGAGCAGTGATTTGAACCCTGGACTCCAGAGTCATAGCCTAGCACTTAAACCACTATACCACACTAGCTCCCATACCAAAAGAAATGGGGGAGGCAAAGCTACCAAGGGAATGCAAACACAGCAAATGTAAGTATGAACAATTTTCAGTGTCTCACTTACTGCAATGCTAGAAATTTGAGATACAAAGGAAAATTTCATGGGGGAGATGAAGATTATCGCGCACTTAAATAAACTGATTTACCTGATCTGGCTTAAAATTAATATGGCTGGCATCTGGACCCTATCACAAGGGTTTTGCCACCGAAATCGCCACCTGGGGCCATCCTGGGGTCATCCTAGGGCCATCCCCACTCCTAGAGCCACTCTAGTGGCCTTTTTCTCAAGCCAGAAAACTCCCAGATTTGAAAAGAGACGTGCTGAGCAGCTCTAGGAATGGTGATGGCCCCGGAATGGTCCCGGGCAGTGATTTCGGTGCAAAACCATTGCGATAGGGTCCAGATGCCAAACACATTTATTTTTGAGCTGGATCAAGTAAACTAGTTTATTTAAGTGTGCAATAAGCTCCTTATTTAGGACCCAGTGCACCTATTTTGCCACTACTTGCAGTGTTACAACCAGGATATAACCAGATCTTGTCTTGCTTTATATTTCATTATTTTGTACAAGATTGTGATTTTTGCCATAGTGGAAATCCCTAATGAGGAGGCAATCTCAACCAGACAACGCTTCAATCCCCACCGCCATTGTCACTACCACTAAGTGGTAGCAAGCTGTTGGGCCACTAGCCCTGGGCAGAGGCCATTGCTAACCAAATCCTCCCTATCTTCTGGAAAAGCTCTTTGATCATCCCAGCTCCTTCAGAGGATGGCAGGCCGTTAGTATTGATTTTCTGCCTAAGCCCTGTTTTGCTTCACAAAGTCCTCTCCAAAATCTATTGGGCTGCAGAAGTGCAGAAGTCAATATATCCTTCTTGAAGGATAAATCTATTGTAACACAAAAGGAGAGAGTACTGAGGCCCTAACAAAACCTCAGCAGATCTCCATATGGTGCCTTGCAATTAAAAAAGAGGGCACAGGGTGGATTAATAATTTTTTGAGAGCAATGGTGGGGGAGAAAAGGAGTGGGCTTTGGACGAGATAATGAGTGAGGCGGAGACAGAAGTGGTGTTTGGCCATACACAAAGTAGAACCCTTTCCCTTTGAGCCTTTCATCTCTGGGTCACTGGTTTCAATCTAACTCAAGTCGATGGCGAACAAAAATCATTTTCCTCTGATGGCTGCTTGCTGACCTATGTGAAATGAAATGGTCAAGTCAGCCACCTCCTCAGTTGACAACTGTCCCCATAAGTAAGCCCACTGATCATTACAGAATCATAGGCAGGGAACAGAGCATGGGGTCATTTAGCTCAGTTCCCCAAACCAAGCCGGGACTTGCTCTTCCAAGTCATACCTAACAAGTTCTTACTTCATATTATTATTTCTCACCCCCCAAAAAAGTGTCAGAAAAATGTCAATGTGCACCTGTTCAAAAAGACAGCAATTCAGATTCACACAAACGGCTGTGATCCAG